ATTTTGGCAGAAATGCAAAACGTGATCACGGGTCAGAAAGAGCATGTACCTGTGAGGGTGAGCGGCGTCGAAATGGAGTAGGACTGCGAGAAGTCTGAAAACGACCACTAGCTATGTAAGGCAGAGTTTATACTTCGCTATGATGCGTGCCGCCCACTTGTGTTTAGAGAGAGTATAGATGAACAGGAGGCTAGATGTAACCTTCACACAGTTTGGTACCCTCCTGTTTTTCTATCCCGTCTCAAAACACTGGAGCTGGTGCCAATCACAGCGTTCTCACTTGGAGTCATCGCCAAGTCTGAACGCTGCCTAATCGACAGTAGGTCAGCGAATAAGACATACCCTCCTACGGCTGACTGGTGGCGGCGATGGATTCTCTTCAAGTAACGCATCTTGCCGGCTTCTTCTCATAGCAACTCGAACCGTAGACGCCGCACGACGTTTCCTTTCCTCTGAAACATCAGAAAAATAGATAACCAGTGGATGATTTTCCAAAGGGAAGAAGCATACTCAGGCAATCAATGAAGCTGAAACATTGCGGCCAACGACCAAAACAGAAAAATGACATTTACGGTAATTCCTTCCCACACAGCTGTAGCCTTGTTGCGGATGCTGAGGCGTGTTAGATGCTGGGATTGGCGCGGAAGTAACTCGTCCTCCACCGATCGTTGAAGAGGGCAAGCGACAGCAATTAGCGGAGAACGGGCTGGAACCGCGAAAACAAGCCCCCTGACACGCCCCAGCATCCGCAGCGAAGATGACTTTATTAACCCTTCTGTCGCCATGAAAATGTCATGAAAATATAGAACAGATAATGGCGACTTCCGCTTGTTTCGAATGTTCTGACCTTTGAATGGCGCCAACGCAACTGAAAGGACCAGCCTCTGTGCCCTTCCTCCAACCAAGGCCTCAGTAGAGACCATGTCTTCTTCGCGAGCTATCCCTCGACAACACCGGCCGCATTTACTCGAAGCATGGACTTTTGCTAGAGGAAAGGGCACAGAGATGCGGCCGACTAGTTCTCGCCCTCAATATGGTAGAGCGCCACCGCGACTGACTCATATCAAAGACATACTGTGCACTCACCTCCGTGGAACCTGGTAATTGCCGTGTGTGGGGGGAAAATGGGCCGCAGCTGCTTTCTCTCCTCTCAAAAGTGCCCAGGAACGAGATGGGAGGAAAGTGATACCCGGATGCCGCACCCATAGTTCGCCCGCGCATCCGCACGGTCAGTCACACGCCTAGCCATAGCTAAACACGCTACTTGTCTGCGCCCTCTCAATTCTAACCCCTTTATCTTTCTTTCTTTTCTATTCTATCTCTCTCTATCTTTGACTGCGGGATCGCTGTTGGATTTTAGTTTCAGTGCAGGTGCTAAACTTTTAATAAAGCGCGGCGGAGTCCCAAACGGCACCTGAGAATCACCACCCTTTAATTCGGGGCGCTCTTAAGAGACGAAAAGTTACATGTGAATAGCTCCCAACCCGTCCTTCACATGGGCAAGGAATGTCCTCAGAGGTGAGTACACAACTATTCGTTGAAAAAGGCTCGGAAAACGACACCCATTACTGAACACTCGAACTCGAACATCATCACCTCCTTCGGCGTTGGTCGTGCTAGACGAGGTCGCACTCGACTGTGAAGTTTGAGAGTCATGCGAATTCAGAGGCAATGCAGGTGGTGGTGGAGGAGGAGGGAGAAGCATGCCTTCATCTTTAAAATACAACATACAGACATTGAAAGAAAAGTGTTCATATCATAACATTAGAAAAATATGTAATCAGCAGACACTGAGGAAATAGAGGGCTTTCTCTCTATTTCGAACACTTCCCTATAAATATCAATATCAACATATAGCGACGTTGTGACAGGAACTAAATATTCCGTTGTTTGATGTATCTATCTACTCCTGAAAAGCTAGAGAAAAGACTGAAAACTAGAATTGTGAGGGTAAGGCAAGGGAAAAGAAAGTTCTTTTACGGCAGTGAGGAGCTGACTAACAATGCCTGCCCTAATTACGGAAATGAGTAGAGTCGCATGCTGGACGCATGCACCCACGATTCGACCAGTACAGAAATCATTCCTGGAAGTTTTCATCCACACGCGCACTGCAATGACACACATCTGGACATTAGCCACAAAAAGCAGCTCATGACGGTGACAGAAGGTGAAGAGACAGTCACAGAGGTGTGACTGGGAACGATGGACTGAAGCAAAAAAAACAACCGTTTCAACAACAAAAGGAGGCACAGAAACAATGGCCCTTTCTTCCATTGAGCAAAAGTCCAGAAGGAAATAACTCCAAAGGAGAGAACACTGAATTCAGGCATGTTGTTGGTAGAACTGTGGCAGTCCATTTGTTCTTGCACTGTGCACGCCCTGTGCGAAAGCGTTTCTCCGCGACTGTAATGTGGGGGATACTTCGATAATGACTTGGCCATCGCCATTTGGCAGGGCCAGTATACATCTTTTGTCTGATACGGCAGTGGAAGAATACTCTTAGGAAACTTGTAAAAGAAGAGGCATGAACGCTCTTACCGTTCTTTGATGGCTTGCAGTAATCATTCACTATCACCACATCATCTTCACTTGAGTTGTGGGGATTTCGAGGTGTTGCAGGAGGTGGGGGTGAAACACGTGCTTGCTTAGAAGACGCAGAATCTAAACTGTTAGTATTTGTTGTCAACGCGATTGTCAGGATAAAGGTAACTTGAAGTTTTGCAGCGAGGCGACTAAATCTCCTGGGTGACAAACGATGAACCCAACCATAGGTCCCAGCACGAATGGACAGAGCAAACTAACCTTCCTGTTGCGATGATTGCTGGATATTTGAAGCGCTACGCTGCGTTTCTCGCATACTCTCAGCAGCACTTGCACGAGAATTGGAAGATGCTGATGTTCGGTCTTTTTGGTCCACAGAATCTGAGTAAGGTTCATATAAGTGCTTGGGGCGCTAACTTAGTTGGGAGGCCACACGCAGCGGTGTCGACATCCCTGCCCTTGCCCAAGGCTTGAGCACAGGAGAGCCCAGACGACTGAGTGCGCAGGGGTTGCCTCATAACAGAGAAGTCGACGCGCTGCTGCGTGGGCCCCACCCTAGCAAGTCGCACCAAAAAGATAGACTCACCATAATCTTGACGATGTGCAATCGAAACATTGGGTTGAGCCGACATGGAAGCAAAACCAAACAAATCATGAGCATTCTTGTCAAGTGGTGGCCAACCAAATGTTGTAGGAGGATTCGATGAGTTCGCAGCTGCTTCTGACGTCGATCCTTGAGCCATCGGGTGGCTTGAGGAAGCCGATGCATTCCCTGCCGACCTGAACAACCAAAAAATAAAGACAGCGCACTAAAGAGTCGATTCATCGTAATTCGTTCATTGCTGATTTTTGATTCCTGTCAAGATCAGAGCGATTTTTAACGTAAAGGAATTATGTGGGGGAATGGGGCACACAATTGGGCTATATCTCCACATTTACATAGTCTAGATCTTCCAAGATGAACTTTCAAAAAGGAGATTGCTATTGCGCTGCGAAGAGGCAAATGAGAAAGTTTCTGGTCGCTCAGTGGTGCGCCGCAACAGCCTTCAGCTCGCGTTTCTCTTCACTCGCCAAGCAGACATTCAGCACCGTAGAAATAGTCAGGCCGTAGGGCCTACAACGAGGTTACGACGATAAAGATATAAGTGGAACAACAGCAGACATTTCAAATATATGCACATTACGTCTTTCAGAACTACGGAAAGGTAAGTACTTCATTTCTGGGAGCCGACGTAGTTGGTGCACCACTCGTATTGCCCCTCCCCCACCAAAGCTCAGGCCTCAAGCGCAAACGACCAGAGTCACCGAGGGGTATTTTAAGTGAAAAAATCCAGTCTGCGTCACGAACACAGTCTCTAGGACTGCGCTATACTTCGCGCTCGGCGTTTCAGGGGATCACCGTTTTGAAATAATCGGGGTTCTGAGTGAATCAGCGTTTCTAGCAAAAGGGACTGTGGAGTTACCAATCGACGGCGATCGCTAGCGTTTGGGAGAACCGGCATTTTGGGCGCCGATTAAATCGATTTCCTCTTGCGCACAAAACGCCAATTCTTGCGGAACGCTTTCTTTGCTTCTAATTGAAGCCGAACCTCCAGGATACCTAGAAATGACTCACCCTTCGTTAGGATTGTCCACAGGAGTTGGAGATCCTGCACGACTCTGACATCTACTACG